TTAAGAGACATATCTTATATAAAACAAACAAAGTAAATTTAATGATTCAATATAAATAAAACTAATACAAAATATCAATGAACGAGAGATATAGATACGACAATGGATACACGTTGAGAAAGTTACGAACTATACTATAACCGATACGAGAGAGAGAGTTACAATCATTGTTAAATCATACAACCTGGTTTGTTGTCGTTTGTCTTCTTCTCTGTAGGCAAGGGACACTTCGGAGATAAAGTTCACTTACTTCTTTCAATGGGAGATCAATATGTGCACAAGGTCAAAGTATAACTTCTAAGTGCTAAACTCTGAAATTATTCTATGTGACTCGTCTAAGGGCGTTGGTCATCAGGAGGAAATATGTATGTGGAGTCTGGACGCTTCCAAAGCTGTCGAAGAACTCCACGAATTCTGACAAATTTCCTCTATATCTCATGACTTACGACCAATCATCTGCTCGAAACTCGTTCATGTGAACGGATGAAAGGGGGATATGTGAGGGGTAAACATTTCCCATCTGAGCAGGATTTTAACCAGATAAGGGAAAGTCAGAGGATGTTCTCTTCTGTGAAAGGAAGTAACATCTGTTATCTGCCTTTTCCCACGTTAAAACAATATTTTTCTCACAAAAATGAAATAATATTTTCTGACAATATTTAACATTATTAATAAAAATTATTAATTTAGACCCAGGGCCTTTCAGGTCTCACACTATTATGTTTTGAGGTGTAGGTAGGAATGAAATATGAAATTACTTTTAATTCATTTTAGTGTTTCTTTTATTATTATTTTTTTTTTTTTTTTGAATGTTGAGAGAAATAATTTTAAATGATTTAATATTTAAACAATTCTCTTTAAAACTAAAATATATTGATTAAAGATAATTTATGTACTATATATACTTGAGTAATAGTTGATCCCCTATTTTTGGCCAAAAATCCTGGAATTTTCCATAGGTCCCTAATAGTATTTCATGGACAACAGGTCAACATTTGCCAGAATTTTTCCATTGAAGGCACTGCAAGTGCATCTAGTTTCTCAGGATAAGTAGTGCTCTTTATAAAAGTTTATATTGTTTACAATGTTGAAAAGCACCATTCTGACTCTGCTTTATCATCATGAGGATTTTTGCCAATTTCATAATTCCATTAACAATTGTAAGAACACCATCTACCAGTAGATATTTTCTAAAATGCGTTTCATTAACTCAATCTGCAATATTCATGCATTTTGGATCTAAAATATACAGTATTTTGGATGCTGTTGGATATTGGAGCAAGAAAAATTTTTACTAAAACAATCTAATGAATAATAATAAATTATGGCCAGAAATGACAGAGGCAGGGGTCATCTCAGCAGAGGTGCCATCAACATAATGACGCGTGACATGTCGGTGCAAACACACACACAAATCTACAACTACAGTTTAAAATTTCTCTGTCATTTTACATAAAAATGCCCTCCAGAAAAAATAAATATACGGTAGCATTTAAACTAAAAGTTTTTGAAGTTGCCGAGAAGACAAATAACTGTGTAGCAGCAGGGGAATTTTGTGTGTTGGAGAAACTTGTGAGAGACTAGAGAAAAATATGAAACAAACTTCAGACAATACCAAAAAGAAAATAGAAAAAGAAAACATAGCAAGTGGCCACAAAGTTGCAGAGTGGGTACTTGAAAATCATCAAGATGGAAAGTGTGTTACTTGTGCAGCCATTTGTAAGGTTCCAGACAGGGTCCAAAATTCCAAAATCATGTTAATTGCATTGACTATAGAGAAATTGTTAACTTTTATTTGGTTTTTGTTTTATGTAAGAAAGAGAGAAAAAATTCTGTAGTTATCAAAACGAATGCAACATGGAGATAAACAAGGAGTCCCTAGGCGACTTGCACATGTTATATCATAGATGAGTGTCGACCTGGAAAGATGAAACTCTGACACCAATACTCATATACAACAGATTGAAGTTAGGGTAAATTGGGAAAAGGAGAAAGTTTGACAGTCAAGGAGACATCATCTGAGATTGTTAAAATTCTAAAATGTCAGAATTGAGGAAATAATGGGCTAAAATACAAGTACAAGTTTCTTGGTTGTATCAACATCTCCCAGTCAGAGTTGAAAAATGGTGTCGGGTAGATCATCCAAAGCAGACCTTAATTGCAACCTGAACCAATCTGTATTCACCTGAAGATAGGAGAGAGACCAAAAGTGAGACAAGGAAATTAGGACTAATCAAAATAAGGGATTTGGGTAGAAAATCAATAAAAACCCCGAATCTGAAGGTCAAAAGGAGAGTTCCTTGCTAATTGTGTTGCATGACAAATCTATGTTGTTTAGTGAATGAAATCTGTCTGTTAGTATCCATAGTGCCATCGAAGGACTAACCTGGATCGCCTGCTCCTCTTCTTGACAGACACATCTTCTTCTTCTCCGGGACCATTGTCTTATAAGTGCCATCAGACTCTTATCTGTCTCCACAACTACTCCAGTTTGCAAGTAAATGAGTGACTGTTCTCTGTGCTGAACAACAACTGTGAAGAAAAAAACATATACAAAGGGAGGCATCATGAGGGCTCCATCATTGCTTTTGATCTGTGAATGGATTATTGATTCATGGAAAGAAATAAAAGTTGACACTGTTGTAAAATCATTCAAGAAATGTGAAATTTTGAGAAGAAAACATTTCATTTAGAAATCAGTTGGTCTTCTGCTACTGATTTGGTACGTTGGATTCTAGCTTGAATTTCAGCCCCTCAAAAGTTGTATCCCTATAATAGTTAACCCATAAATTTTACCTTAAAAAATTATCTAAAAAATTTGACTTTTACACTAGTAAAAGTTGAATTTTTTAGATCATTATTACTACCAAAAATGTTTTGGAAGAACAAACTGATTGGTTCTTTGATTGAAGATGAAATGTGTTAGCAATGACTAAACAGGTTATATTAATTATGTAAGTTAAAGTTCAGCTTTAACTGTTCTTCAGTTTATAACTTTTTATTTATTATGTTTTAAAAAACTCTTTGCCCTTCCAAGAAATTACTTAATTGATATGATGAAAAGCTGCTAATTTTTATTGTTTATACAAAAATGAATAGGATAAAGTTCAAACTAGTAATCCTTTAAATTAAACATGCATTGGTTAATTTGTTTATAGTCATTTGATACATCAAACACATTACAGTTTATAAGGTTGTCTCAGTTTTGCTTATTATGGATAAATTCAATCTGCAACAGTGTTGGATACATGTATGAAGATTGGGAATAATGTCCCAACTCTGAATCATACCACAAAGATTTCTTGCAATGACAGGATGATAATTACAATAAATTATCTTACTGTGTGATAGTCTAATTGATAAATTGATGGATAACGAAGACAACTTGGCTTTCTACATAAGATCATTTTCAATAAGCTTCTCTGGGTCATCTTATCTCACCCACTTCTTTCAGCTTCTTTTCTCCAATGTTACATCTTCATGTTACTCTTTTTACTTTCCATAAACCCCAATTTTCATGACTCCATATTGCATATTATACAGGTAGGCCTCCTACAACGCGGCAGATACGTTCCTTGAAAATACCGCGTTGTAGGAAATCGCGTTATAGGAGACACCAACTCAATACAATAACTGGGATTCGGTTCTAAAAAGAGAAAAACTTTGCGTTTTTTGAATTTTTCAAACCAGCTATTAGTAGCCACGAATTTAACATTGGCTTCATCAGCTGACCAGTGGCGTAGCGTAGTGGGGGCGGCAAAATTTCACAATAAATAATAATAATATCTTGTAAAAATTTGAACCATTTCATTTCATATTTTTGTCGCACCTACGATTCGGACCGATTGAAATGAGCACGGAATTGTTCATTACTTATTCTGAGACGAAACTGAATTTTAGTTTTTTAAATTGAGATACCTAAACAAGGGGGCAGCGAAATTTTCCTCCGCCCCGGGCGGCTGACGCCCAAGCTACGCCACTGCAGCTGACTACTGTCCCATTTGTTTTAAATAATCAAATATTTTTAAGGTTATGTGTTTAAGCGCAGTTTTATTTAAAGGCAACCGTTTCTTGTTCATATCTTCTACCCATAATATTAGCGCTTGTTCCATTTTTTACATTATAGGTGCTCTCGGACTAGCAACATTTTTCGCAAGAATAGATGATCCCGATGCGACCAAATTTCTAATCTTTTCTCCCGATTGCTTAATCGACCGAATAGTCCACTCATTTAAATTAAAATGCCTACTAATATCAGCTATCCGCTCTTGATTTTTAATTCGATCCAAAATTTCTATCTTTGAAGAGTTATAAATTTCCTTTTTAACGACGGTCCTATCTTTTCATTCGGCATTGTTATGGCTAAAATTTTTTCAATCAGTTTTGTGGACAGTAAAAATCGCAAAAAAATAACTTTTCTTCACTATATTTTAAAAATATACACCCAATAGAAGTTTATACTGTATTTTGAACCATTTTTGCTGTCCCCACTTATTGAAACAGTATAAATGATGGAAAATTTAGTGATATATTTGAGGGTGCGTTTACTTCTGAGTTAGCACTGCTAACTCAGAAGTAAACGCACCCTGAGTGTTTAAGGTAACTGATGCACATCTGCCTAGAAACCGGTCTTCCCCTGAAACTTTCAAGGGAATAAATAACACGCCAACGGCGACAAACAGCTGTTTTCAAGGACATTTAGTTCTGTATGCCGAATTGCGGTTCGTATCACGTGATCCGTTGCGATTTTTCTGTTATGTGAAAGATAATTCGTTTCTAAATACCGTAAACCGCGTTGTAAGAAAATTACCACATTTTTCCAACCGCGTTGGAGCGAAAACGCGTTGTAAAGGTACCGCGTTGTATTTCAAAAAATATAGTAATTAATGTGTTTTTATGTTGCATGTATTATGCAGAAGCAGAGATCTGACTTTAAAAATTTGCAATAATCTTGAAGAGCTTAATTTACTTTTCTAAACGAAATTTTTTTCATTTTACAGTGCACTTGGATTGGTACCAATTATAGCTGAACAGTATGATTTACAAGAGCCATCTTATTATGTTGTAGCAGTTGCACAGCAGCCTGATAAAGATACAGATCTATTATACTTAAAAGGTTTGTTTTCTTTTTTAATATTGACTAGACATTAATCTTTAAAATGATAAGTATTAATTTCTCCCTCTTGATCCAGGATAAAGATCTTGTCATACTGGTGTGGGTTTGGCAGCAGGTTGGGTCATACCGATGAGTTTTCTTTTAAGTAACGAAAGAATGCGATCTTACGGATGCAATTCGGCACATGCCGCAGCAGAATTCTTTCAAAAAAGTTGCATTCCGGGTGTTCTGTCCAGGAAATATACTGTAGCCGATTGGAGTTATGCCAATTTATGTGACCTGTGTCACGGAACCGGTGCAAGTTATTGTAACAGAGATTCTTCCGAACCTTTCTATGGTAATACGGGTGCCCTACGTTGTCTGGTGGAAGGGGGTGGAGAGATTGCATTCGTGAAACACACCACGGTTTTAGAAAATACCGCGGGGAAAAATCGCGAATGGTGGGCCCGCCCCATGATGCCCGGCGATTTTGAACTGTTGTGTAGAGATGGCACCAGAGCAAAACAGCACGAGTACGAAAGTTGCAATCTTGGTAAAGTTGCCTCAAATGCAATGGTCACAAACAGAAACAACCCACCCAATGTAACTAGATCCTACATTGATCTTTTTTTACATGCTCAACAATACTATGGATCTAAGTATAGCGAAGATTTCACCTTCAAAATGTTTGTTTCTGACAGCAGTTACAGTGACCTGATCTTTCAAGATGCCACTCAACAGTTGGTGGAAGTTCCTTTGCACAAACGTAATTATCACGAATATTTGGGTTACGACTTCGTGCAGGCCATGAAAATCGTCGACTGTAGGGCCGCTGCCAGTTCTATAGAATTAAGTATCTCTCTAATTAGTATTCTATCATTGTTAATATTTAATTGGCAGTTATAATTTTGCCAGCCATAAAATACTAGAAACTTGACATTTACATAAAACAAAGAATCTCTGGGACGTCATCAATATCAAGCTCCTGCTTCGGAAATTTTATCATAAGAGTATCATCAAAAAATCATTTTTTTAATACAAAATGTGATGATATGTAAGTGTATTGCAAATTTATTTAATTATATACTTAACATTTTTATACAAAGAAAATATTATAGATCTGTACATATTTTATAAAATTAACGAATTGTAAATAACAATTAGCCAAGATGATACATATCATTATTTTGATAATTATGTAATTAAACATAAGCATAGTTGTTAAAATAGAATAATTTATATTAACACTTTAAAAAAAAAAGCAATATTTATGTATTTTAACCAAATGCAGGTGATTTTTGAGGTTTCTAGTATTTGTAAATGAATAATTAAGTTGTATTTCAGACAGTCCGTCCACTTCTCTCACACAATTGCTAGCACTACGCTGTTTACACTGAGTGCGTTGTATTTTTTTGTGACATGTTCATCATGAATCTCTCGAATCATTATTTTTATAGAATGTAATAATTGTCATTTTTTATGAATTTGTACATTATGTGGAATAAAATAATTATTTAAATATACTTACAAATTTTAGAATTTTTTCTTTGAGAGATCACATGTCAACAAAATCTGTTGTTGTAATATTGTAGGAGAATCAGCTATAGTGATTGGAGTACTATTGTTATTGCACAAGTGGAGGCTTTTAGGTCAAAGTGCATTGGCTTAAAATATCCAGTGTACATACCACAAAAAATTACTTTCTAACTCTTTCTTTAAAGAGCTCAGACAGCAATCTCCAAAGCTGAGAAATGCCATGCTCAAAACAGAACTCAGATTGAATGAGTCTTCTCAAGCAAAGATCTGCAGAGGAGATCTGTGAAAGTGGCAAAAGGTTGAGGAGAAAAGTTTCAATTGGTACAGACATTTATGAAAGTGATCAAAGTCACTCTCATAAATGTCTGTACAATATCAATCAAAACATGATTCTTGTAAAAAAAGTATAAAATCCTTTGGGCAAACTAAGGATAGGCTAAACATAAATTCTTACTTTGCTTTAAATTGGGAGTTAGTCCAGTTTTAAAATGATTGGAATTATCCCCACTACTTAAACAGCACTAAAAAAGTATTAAAAGAAATACTAAGAATTGATTTGACTCCACAAAGAATATGAAACTTCCTGCTTGACCAGTAAATCAGCTGTTATATTAATGGCAATATGTTCATGTCTTGGCACCACAGAGAAAAACTGTTGTGGATAGACAAACCATTCAGATGCTATCTATTAGACTGGATGTAGCTTCTGGGAGAGTTTAGTAAAAACAAGTTAAACTCGCGTAACTGATTATATAACAAAGAACAAAGAGTGCACAAAGATTACACAGTCGTTACTCTCGGAAGGTCAGCGCTGGAAATGGGAGAGTGAAACTAGGTCACCTTGCCCGAGAAGTCAAGAGCGCCACCAACCTTTTATTACGTCATAAGAATGTTACAGCACATCGCGATCGTTGATTCCAACACTCAACACTCCCAAACAAGTGCCGAAGTAAGCTGACAAGAATGAAATGCATTTGTTTTTAAAAGTCAGGCTGCCTTAATATAGATAGCCTTATTAATTAAGAGTGTAAAATAGTACAAACACGCCAAACAATAGCTAGCAACTCTGCTTGAAACACAGTAAGAAACTTGCCCAGTGACCATGGGCGTAGCTAGGGGGGGCACAGCCCCTCCCAGAGAACCTGGTGCCCCCCAGGAAATCACAGCCGAAAAAGTGTTGAGTCGATTTGTAAAAACCTAAAGCTAAAATAAAAGTTTTGAATACTAAAAAAAGATGAACGGCTTGCTCGGTGCCCAATAATGAACAATAATTTGAAATAATTCAATTTTGTGTCAGGTTGGCCTCCACTAGGCCCCCCATAACAAAACTCTGGCTACGCCCATGCCAGTGACACAAAAAACTTTGTCTGACTGTTTCCACAAATGGCAGCATTTCTGCCACTATTAATTTTGGATCAATCTGTTTGTAAATGAGACTATATTCTGTGGATGAAAAGTTACCCTATCTATATGCCAGTTGAGCAGGAAAGTTCTTTTAAAACTAGTAAGTTTAAGAACTTACCAGTTTTCGAAAACTGGTAAGTTCTTAAAAAGCGATTAAAAAGAAAGGTAAAGAAATTTATAACTTAAGTAGGAAATTTAAAAATTTTTAAAAATATAATAGAGATAATTATATAAAAAATAATGTTCATGATCAATATATTTTAAATAAACATGTCAAACTGACAGAAAAATTTGATTATCCTACTGAAATGGAAAAACAAGACTGGATCAAGAAATCAATAATTAATCTTACAAATGTTGAAATACCAGGTGATTATTTGAGAATTCTTTCCTTTGGTACAAGTATGAATCTTCCAATGAATTTTAAGAACTTACCAATAATAGCAGAAATAGAACATGCAATATGGAAACTTTCAGGAAGTAAAGAGGAACAAGTGAAATTAAGAACAGCTATAAGTAAGGATTTAATGAAATTTAAAGGTAAAAATAAAAATAGTGGTTATATAATAGATAAAAAAGCTGTTAAAATAGTTAATAAAATGAAAAGATTAATTAAATTTTTTAATAAAAAACATATTTCTTTAGTTATGGCGGATAAATCAAAGCAGTTGGTGATTATAAAAAAGGAAGAATTGTTATCTAAAAAAATAGAAATAATTTCATCAGATGATTATGAATTATTACCAAGGAATCTTATTGAAGAAATTAAAAGCAACCTTACTAAATTATTAAAAAAATATAAGAATGAAATTTCAGCCAATCAAGTCAAGAATATTTTGGATTTTAATAATGTAAGAGAACCTAAGTTAAATGTAAGAATTAAAACACATAAACCTGGTAACACTTGTGGATTTTAGAACTATTTTATATAATTTGGAATGTTTTTAAAAAAATTTTTTTCAGATTATGGATAAATCAATTTATAGTATACAAAATACAGAAGAACTTATTAACGGATTGTTAAAAGGTAATTATAAAAAATCTTTTCGCATTATGAGTCTCGATATAAAGTCTATGTATCCGTCAATCACTCTAGAAATGATAATAGAAAGTCTCAAAACATATAACGTTCCTGAATATATAATAGAACTTATAAAATTTGTATTTAATAATGTAAGTTTGCCGACTAAAAGGGGGGAATACAATTACTCCCGCGTCCGGATGAGCCTAGGGGTCGCGGGAAAGGTCCGATTCGAGGTGTTCATCTGATACCTCTTTGTCGACTCTGCTCGGTGACTGTTTATACAACAATAACACCTGCACTCATAACTCAGACCGTTATTTACCATTTTTTTACGTCGAAGAATTTAACGATCATTTACACCTTTCACCTATCAAAAATTCCCCTATTTTTTTGTTCGAAAAGGTTTATTTCGGCCAACATTTTATAGACACGCGAGTCAAAGATCTACCTGTTTATGAGCGCTCGTGTTAGAGTTTGTCTTCCGCTAAGACCTTGATAGATAATTTAACACATACTCGAGCCGTTCCGAGTCTCGTCGTTTACATCTTGTGTCGCGCAAGAATTTCACGGTTTTCTCGAGTTCGAACCTCGTCTGGGACCCCACAATAATAATTACTTTAAAAATTCTACAGAGTATTACAGGCAAAAGAAAGGTATAGCCATGGGATCGGTCATAGGGCCAAAACTGGCTGATATCTATATGAATATCATATAGATATCAGCCATAATAGATGAAAGAATTTCCAGTTTACCAGGTATTAAATATTATGCAAGATATGTAGATGACATAATAATAATTTATGATTCTCAAATAGTTACATCTGAATATATTGAAGAATACGCAAATGGATTACATAAAAATTTAAAATTCACAAGTGAAGATGAACAGCAAAACGAAATGAATTTCTTAGATGTCACCATAAAAAGAAAAGAAACAAGTGTATCATTTAGTAAGTATGAAAAACTATGTAATAATAGTAAAACTATTAACTTTAAATCTTATTGTTCTATATAAAGGAAAAAGAATGTCTTTATTATGGAATTGAGAAAAATATTGAATCGAACAACTCAGCAAGAAAATATAGATATAGAAGTAAAACAATTGTTTAAAAATTTCTGTTAAATGATTATCCGAAGTATATCCTTTGTAAGTGGTACAGTTTATATTTAAAACGTAGATTTAATGTTAAAAATGTCATAGAAGGTATTTATGTAAAGTTTCCTTATGTTACTAATGTTTTTGAAAAATATAAACCGATATTTAAAGAATTTTCTATATGCATAGTTGCGAATCAAAAGAACAAGAGAACATTATCAACATAATAAACAGTGAAAATTCGCCCAGAGACCAATTTAAGATCGCCGGTGTCGTATACAGAATGTCATGTACACGTGGAAGCCCAAATCACTACATTGGAGAAACCGGAAGAAGATTGGAGTTGAGAATAAAGGAACATGAGGCGGCCATTAGACTGAGAAGAACGGAATCAGCATGGTTTTTACATTGTAGAGAATTTAATTGTAATATAAATAAAAATAATACTAAAATATTGTATAAAATAAAAAATAACTTAGAAATAAAAATTGTAGAACATTTTTGTATCGCCGAACATGTAAATGAAATTAATTTGAATACTGGAATGATTGTTGATGCATGCTGGGAACGACTGTTGGGTATAAAGCGTAACCAGCGAGTAACAAATTGATGTATCCACTGAAGAGACCTGATGGTGAAATGCGTTTGGATAGAGGTAATAAAATAATGATTGTTCCTTGCCATTTGTTTGTCGTGTTTTGGCTCATAGAATCCTCCAAGTCGGAAATAGAAAGAGTATAATTTTACTTGTTTTTTATCTAAAAATTTTTTATTTTTAGTATGTTAATATTTATACCGATCCCATTGGTTTTAATAATTGAACTAATAAAATGTACCTTTTTATTATTATAATTCATTAGGCAAACACAATTCAAAGAACTATTTAACCTAATTCTAATACTGATTTTTGAATTTAAACTGCAAGATGAATCCAAATAACAGACCAATTTCGGAGATAATTGAAAACAGAGACATGGAGGAACCAAAAAGAGAAGATAGGATTGGAGAATATACTGTAAGTTGCAATTTACCATTTGCATAATCTAAATGAATGCTGTTATGCATCGAAGTATATTGCTTATGCTATATAGATCCAAGTTCGAAGCTAAAGAATTTGAAGCTAGGAAAGCTGGTACTGTTCCAGAAAGAAGGAATGTTTGGAGAAATGTATTTTTTTTCTAAGAGTTATTAAAGGATTGATTGATTTTTAATTGGTGAGTTATTTAATGATCAAAAGTTAAAAAAGGTAGTTATATCATTCACAATGAATGATCATTAAATGAGTAAAATACTTAAAGGAATAATTTCATTTCTACAATTACAGTAATACAGCAATTACACTCCTACCCATAAAATTTCAGATTGTTCTTACTTACTACTGGCAGTCTTAAAGAATAACATTAAATATCCTTGCGAAGTCTAAAACTTAAGCACGCATAATCATCTTTAAAGCTAAACGAATAATACGAATTTAATAAA